ATATCTCCTTAGTTTACCAAGCTACAGACTCATCAGTAAAATTAATGCCCCCTCCACCTGTTCAGCTAATTTAAGAGTGTCCCAGTTTCCCCTCCATCAGTATAGTTATTTATCAGATGTACTAGTGCCCCTCAAATCAGTACAGTTAGTTTAAGGGAGTACAAGTGCCCCTTCAATCAGAACAGGTAGCACCAGGATGCTCTAGCAACCCCCCTCCCTCCATCAGTACATTTAGTTAAAGCTAATCCTACTGCCTCCTTCATCAGTACAGTTAGTTAAAGAGTGTCATAGTGCCCCTTCAGTCAGTACAATTAGTTAAAGGCTGTCCTAGTGCCCTCTCCATCAGTAGTTAGTTAAAGATTATCCTAGTGCCCTCATCATCACTACAGTGAGTTAAAGGCTATCCTAGTGCCCTCTCCATCAGTACAGTTAGTTAAAGGGTGTCCTAGTGCCCTCTCCATCAGTACAGTTAGTTAAAGGCTGTCCTAGTGCCCTCTCCATCAGTACAGTTAGTTAAAGGCTGTCCTAGTGCCCTCTCCATCAGAACAGTTACTTAAAGAGTGTCCTAGTGCCCTCTCTATCAGTACAGTTAGTTAAAGGCTATCCTAGTGCCCTCTCCATCAGTACAGTTAGTTAAAGGCTGTCCTTGTGTCCTCTCCATCAGAACAGTTAGTTAAAGAGTGTCCTAGTGCCCTCTCCATCAGTACAGTTAGTTAAAGAGTGTCATAGTGCCCCTTCAGTCAGTACAATTAGTTAAAGGCTGTCCTAGTGCCCTCTCCATCAGTAGTTAGTTAAAGGTTATCCTAGTGCCCTCATCATCAGTACAGTTAGTTAAAGGCTGTCCTAGTGCCCTCTCCATCAGTACAGTTAGTTAAAGGGTGTCCTAGTGCCCTCTCCATCAGTACAGTAAGTTAAAGAGTGTCCTAGTGCCCTCTCCATCAGTACAGTTAGTTAAAGGCTGTCCTAGTGCCCCCTCCATCAGTACAGTTAGTTAAAGGCTGTCCTAGTGCCCTCTCCATCAGTACAGGTAGTTAAAGGCTGTCCTAGTACCCTCTCCATCAGTACAGCTAGTTAAAGAGTGTCCTAGTGCCCTCTCCATCAGTACAGTTAGTTAAAGGGTGTCCTAGTGCCCTCTCCATCAGTACAGTTAGTTAAAGAGTGTCCTAGTGCCCTCTCCATCAGTACAGTTAGTTAAAGGGTGTCCTAGTGCCCTCTCCATCAGTACAGTTAGTTAAAGGCTGTCCTAGTGCCCTCTCCATCAGTACAGTTAGTTAAAGGCTGTCCTAGTGCCCTCTCCATCTGTACAGTTAGTTAAAGGCTGTCCTAGTGCCCTCTCCATCAGTACAGTTAGTTAAAGGGTGTCCTAGTGCCCTCTCCATCAGTACAGTTAGTTAAAGGCTGTCCTAGTGCCCTCTCCATCAGTACAGTTAGTTAAAGGCTGTCCTAGTGCCCCCTCCATCTGTACAGTTAGTTAAAGGCTGTCCTAGTGCCCTCTCCATCAGTACAGTTAGTTAAAGGCTGTCCTAGTGCCCTCTCCATCAGTACAGTTAGTTAAAGGGTGTCCTAGTGCCCTCTCCATCAGTACAGTTAGTTAAAGGCTGTCCTAGTGCCCTCTCCATCAGTACAGTTAGTTACAGGCTATCCTAGTGCCCTCTCCATCAGTACAGTTAGTTAAAGAGTGTCCTAGTGCCCTCTCCATCAGTACAGTTAGTTAAGGGCTGTCCTAGTGCCCTCTCCATCAGTACAGTTAGTTAAAGGCTGTCCTTGTGTCCTCTCCATCAGAACAGTTAGTTAAAGGCTGTCATAGTACTCTTCCAATTAAATACTAAGCTAAGGGAAGGATGTCCTTGTGCCCCCTTCATAATTAGGGTTCTCAGACCCTATCCTTACCTCTACCCTCCAGTCTAATTTGTAGCCCAAGGAAGTTAAAAATGGTGTTCGTTGTTTATGAGTACACTCTGATTTTTGTGGTCATCAGTATAAAGTTAAAGGTTAAAGGTCACATTGACTATTTCTCAAATAAAAGCTGGTGTACAATATACTAGGGGATGAGTAAGTGAGTATGTAAATGAACCTCTGCTTGCTTTTTTTGTTCCAAGCTAGCCTGGTACAGTTCAGAGCAGTATGCTGCATGGTGAAACTCAATCAATAGGTTTTCCCTCTCTAATATTCCCTGAAGTCCTAGGACCACAATGTATATGTTGTTGTGTGATGGTTCCCAGTATCTGGTGTGTAGCCTCTGCTACTATCATGTGATATTCTACAGATCTGTAATTCACTCAGTGTAATGTTGTACTTTAAGATCCAATGCTATTTAAAAGATTTTAATATTGATTTTAATTCATTTTCAACTGTTATCAAAATTGAATTGAAGCTAATTCAAAATCAGGTTTCTATACAGAATACAAAGCAAAGTGCTGTACAAGTTAGGGCAATGAAAGTTGGACATGCATATTAGATAAATATACTATAAATAAATACATTTTGGCCTTCACTGACCCAAGCTATACTGTCTCTGTTAGAGATGTGGATGTATTCTCTGCATCCTTTTTCATTTGTTTCCTGAGTAGTATGAAACATTTCCAGTCTGAAAACATTTAATTGTCAATCCACAGATCTAGACCATACCAGGCTACATGGTAGCAGCAAGTTGTGTGTCAGCCTACTGATCAAGAATCGTCCTTTTGTCAGGTTTATAGCATCAGCTGAAATTTGTTCATTCTCCAAAAGTTTATGTTGAAATTTTGTAAGAAAACTAATATACACTATTGAAAGATTTTTAGATATTTTCAATAGATGTGAAGACATATAGAAAATGTTCATTTTTTTATAATAATCATTTATGTAAAGAATTTTGAAAGAACTAGACATTGTGAATGAATGAAAAATATGGATACCTTGCTCCTGAACTGCTACCATCTAATTTTTGATAGTAGGGAACTACATATATATAACATTTTGGCTGTCCACTTCCTACTAACCAGGGGCATGTCCCATCCATTCACAGGTCCTGTCCACATTCTCCCTACTGTCCAGGGTCCTGTGACCACCTGTCTACTGTCCAGGGGCATCTCCTGACCCGAAGAGGACCTGTCGGCAATCTCCTTACTGTCTAAGGGTCTGAACACAGTTTCTCTAGTGTCCAGGGGCCTGTCCTGTCTCATACTTTACCTTTGCATAGTCTCCCTTCTGTCCATGGACCTGTCCACAGTTTCTCAACTTGCAAGGTGTCTGTCCACAATTGTCAGGACCTGTGCAGTCTCCCTTCTGTACATAAGGACCTGTACACAATACATTTTGCTTATCTTATTTTCCCACTTGGTCTGTTCACAGTATCTCAACTGGCAAGGGGCCTGTGAACAATCTCTCTACTGTCTGGGGCCTGTCCATAGTCTCTCTTTGGTCAAGTGGACTGTCATGTCTCCCTACTGGTCCTGTTTACAGTTTCCATTCTGTCTAGGGTCCTGACAATAGCCTCCTTTCTCTCTGGAGGTGTTCTTTCACAGGATCTGTCTACAATCTCCCTACTGTCCATTGGCCTGTCCCATCCCTCCATAGGGTTTGTTCTGGCCAGTTCACTGCTTTGGAGCCATCCTTAATATTAATTTCTGTAGATCAGTTGAGATATGTGTAGGGTTAAGTCATGTGTTTTGTATAAATGAGGTTCTTTTATGGTGTATAGAACAGCACACCTTAATTAATTTTATTATTCTTTTTATCAAGGTATGTGCACAATTCATGATCAATACATCGTAGAATATCAAATTTTTCTATACCTCAACTGAAAAATTGAATTAATTAAATTAAGATTTGATCAATTAATTAGGCACATTACACACCTACCATTATCAGCTAATTTTACGTACCTTGTTATGCATCATCAATTTTTAGGGGGAAAAGATATATGAACAAGGGATTGCCATGAATTTTAGTACAAGTAGTTGAGTTCATTGTTGCTATTTCATGAGAAATTCTGAATATATATTTCTGAAATTTGATAATTTTGTATGTAGGTACTTTCTGCCATGTTATGCCTATTCAATTTTGGGACTGATAGAATGGCCTACAAGTGGCCATCTTGAAATTTGAAAGTTAAAGGTTTTTGTCACTACTCAGGTCTTTCTTAGGGCATATTGAATAATTCTTTCTCATTTTTGATTGTTGGCTCTTTATGGTGTTTTTATGGTGATCAGAAAAACAAAATGGCTGACAGTATTTCTTGGATGTTGGAGGGTTGTCCATTTTGGATTTGGGCTCTTGTATGTTGTTTTAACAATATGAACTATTTTTATATGCACTGGATGGACATTTTCAACATTTCATAGTGTTGGTTTCTCTTATTCAATGATGTTACCATTTAATTAATTCACCTGTCATCACAACAATAAAACAAACAGTTATAAACAAATGAGAAGGAAAGAAGAGAAAATATCAGCTTCTGTAGAACCTGGTGTTAAATAAAAAAAAATATACAAATAAAACAATGTATTCTTTAAAAAGAAGTGATGTTTTGGGATTTAATGACATATTTTTTAACAGGTGTGAACTGACAGTATACTGTTATTTGTAGGTATAGTCAGCTGTTTTTGATAGTCATTGTCTGTTTTGTATACTTTTACATATGGCATTCATTACCTGTGTTTCAGTCCCATGACATAATCCTTACTGCTAAATGGCTTGGAAACAGTTCTACTGTGTAGTAGTAATGTGTGGTAAATATTCCATAGAAATACCTCTACTACCTCCTGTAGTATAATGTTATACAGAAATAGGTTCCCTTGTAAAAATTCCAATGGTACACTGCACCTCAGATGACAGATTACAAAGATCATCAGATTTAAGGCTGAGTTGAAGCTTGTTTCATTAATATTCTCAGAGGAACTTCATACTTTACCTACACTTTACTACCTTTCACATTGACCTATAGCAATAATGCATGTCATATGTAATTAGCAGACTAAATGCTATTGTATATAATCATATTTTTTCTGTCTCCCCAGCTGAGGAATCATCGAGGGTCTCTAATGCCGATCAGCTCTAACATAGCTAGCAACTCAAAGTCTGTGTAAGTAACTTTAGTAATATAACCAGCTACTCAAAGTCAGTGTACCAAATCTGTCAGAAAGTCGCCCAGTCAATAAGCCACTCGTGGGCGGTAATTATAGTTAGGTGGTTATTTGGGGTTTAAAAATTTCCAGATGCTTTCATGAGTTTCCAAGTGCACAAGAGTCATGGCGATCCACGAAGAGCTAAAAATCATGAGTTGTTAACATTGAAACTTTTGTTCATCAAATGTATTTATTGTTTTGTGTACACTAACATTGTAATACATTGCCTACCTGTCATGTAAACTGAAACGCGAGATAATTCAATGAGTCGTTTGTTTCAAGCAAGAACAGAAAGTGAAAATTTGTTGTATTTAAAAGGTGCTTTTAAAAGAAATGTTTGTTATCAAACGTACTTGAGATGATGAAGAATATGGATGGGTCTTCTTAAAGTTAATTTCTTGTTACAGGATTAAAATCTTTACAAAAACACAAAATAAAAATGACACTTGTAATAGATTAAAAAATTATTGATATTACTTTTTCTGCACATGACTTGTTTATTCGCAGAAATCGGTAATCTAATGGAATTTAAAGAAAACATTGAGTCTGATTTCTCTACTGAAAGCCTCATAACTATAAAGCTAATGACAAAGCAGCACTCAAGCATGAATTAGCTCACATGTCACATTTAACAGGATGTATGGCTGCAGTTGACTCAAGATTTGTACACTAATAAAAAACAAAGTCGGAAATTATTATTCAATGCTTTCACTGGAAGGTACAAGGGTTGCCTAGATGCATATGCATACATCAACCCTGACAGCATTAGGCAAGCATAACGTTACTATGTCTACAGGAATCTGACATTCTGTATGTGAAACATAGCTATCATTATATATCAAAAATAGCAGGATTAATAGATATGAAATTCATATATATCATTCTAGCTATCTTAAAGTATAATGGTTATATTTCACATATAGAATGTCCGATGTTTTACATTGAACATCCAATCCTGTTTTATACTTCATAGGCTTATGGTCAGTTGGCAAAGTCAAAGAAAACTTAACCATGATAATCGCCGTGGGTGCTTATTGTGTCCATATCTTTGTTAATTTTTTCCTGATTTTCCATTTAGCTGCCCTGGGCGGCTTTCCAATAGATTCCAGATGTAACTACAGTAACATACCCAACAACTCAAATTCTGTGTATGTAACTTTAATAACATAGCAATACATCAATGAAATTAAGTATCATCTGTGTATGTTTCACTGACGATTTTGATAAATTGCCCTCTGTCATCTGTTATATCAACAAACTTTGATTAACTTAACAGTTATCATTTCCTAAGAAAGGGTGTAGCTTTTATTCTGGTACAGCTTATATACTGGTGCAGCAGCTTATATACTGGTGCAGCTTATATTCTGGTGCAGCAGCTTATATACTGGTGCAGCAGCTTATATACTGGTGCAGCAGCTTATATACTGGTGCAGCAGCTTATATTCTGGTGCAGCAGCTTATATACTGGTGCAGCTTATATTCTGGTGCAGCAGCTTATATTCTGGTGCAGCAGCTTATATACTGGTGCAGCAGCTTATATACTGGTGCAGCTTATATTCTGGTGCAGCAGCTTATATACTGGTGCAGCTTATATTCTGGTGCAGCAGCTTATATACTGGTGCAGCAGCTTATATACTGGTGCAGCTTATATTCTGGTGCAGCAGCTTATATACTGGTGCAGCAGCTTATATACTGGTGCAGCTTATATTCTGGTGCAGCAGCTTATATACTGGTGCAGCTTATATTCTGGTGCAGCAGCTTATATACTGGTGCAGCAGCTTATATACTGGTGCAGCTTATATTCTGGTGCAGCAGCTTATATACTGGTGCAGCAGCTTATATACTGGTGCCGCTAATATGTAAATCAAACCGAAAAAAAAAAATTAAAAATTAGCTCTGCGGCTTATATGCTGGTGCAGCTTATAACCCAGAAAGCTAATCAAAGTCTGTGTATGTAACTTATTTACAAGCCTGTCACTTCCAGGGCTGCAGTTAACGATTGTGGCTTTAAATTGATTGAGCATCCACCTTATTCACCTAATCTCCTTCTGTCAGTGTTTCATCTATTTCCAAAATCTAAAAAGGCCGTTTCTGGTGGCCACTTTCGTTCAGATGATGAAGTCAAACATGCAGTAGAGGACTTTCTTAATGGTCAAGAAAAGAACTTCATTAAAAGGGCACTGAGGCACCTAAAAATCACTGGCAAAAGTGTATAGATATTGATTATGCTGAAAAAGAATGTAATATGTGTGGCAAAACTCAAACCCTTAAATATAAGACTCACAACTTATCAATCAGCCCTTGTATGTGTAAGTAATATTGTGACTATATATATTATCCAACCTCAACATGAAGGAAAACAATTCTTTGACTCCTGCCATATCTGGGCCTCAGAATCACGATCTACAATTTGGTACCGTAAACCATGAGTTTGAGGCCCGAGTAGGGCACAAGTCAAAAATTGTCTATCTTCATCAGTTGTGTTACCATATTAATGTTTATATTAATTTTGTGTATTAAAATACTATCTTATGTGTTTGTTCCAGACCGTATTCATTAGAGGTTGTGCAGAAATATCAAAATGGTAAGTTTATCTAACTAACCCTAATGATTGTAGACTAGTTATTGTGACTTTGTAATGTACTATGTAGAGGATCACCTCAAGTTATGAGGCTGCCTTGTTGCTGTGGAAGGCCACAAGGTTGTGAGCTAATTTTACAACTCCTAACAAAGCACAATGTTGAAGATCATGGTATTTTTCTTGTTACTTTCTTTGATACAGGGATATCTGATGTATTCACATCAACGATCTCATTCATCTTCTATATCATATTAATGTAGCAAAGGAGCCATCTAACGTTTTCCCTTGCCTTCTGAAATACCAATTTGGCTATCAAGAGTTCTTTTATCTTCTCAACAATTATCGAAAGATGGTTGCAGTAATTTCGATCTATAGAGTAATGTTGTTTCCAGGTTAATGTGTTGGGAATATTTTTGGGATAGTTGAGGATCGAGATATTGCTATTTCACTGGTAATAGTTTTGTTCTTGCTGTATAAGATGTGTCAAGGCAAGTATGTATATTGTTTAGGTCTGTGTGTAACAAATTATTTCTCTAAAACTAAAAACTTTCCATTTCTGACATGAATAAACGCTGATTAAGATTAAATTGATAATCTTGAGTTTTATCATACCCCAACCCCTCCCCTACACAATACAATGTACCGACCTACTCCTCCTAAACTACTGAATTTAATTCAACATTATTTACTGACTGTGATCCTTATGCATTGTAGATGCACATGATCTATATCATGTTAAGTTATCTCCCCTTTTTGGAAACTTATACCCCTTTGGGAAACTCAGCAGTGTACCATTTGTTCCTGTATTTCTAAGTGGATTATATATATCCCATGTCACCAAAGTTATATACCGTTTTATTCCACTACAAATAAGTTTACCACTATATAAAGGTCTGAGTGCGTTTTTCTGATGACTTACATAATTTCCAACAGTTTAACATAAATTCAAAGTCTGAAAAATGTTTTAAATATTGTCACTACTCCTTACAGTACCATAGCTTTAACTTAACACAGAATCTAGTGTCACTACACAGATATAGGTATGTATAATTATATCAACTCTCCAATCTCATGAAGCTATTTTTCTATTTCTAAATAACTCTATCACTGGGATAAAACTAGCAAGGTTTAATAATTGATTTTCTCTTGTTAAGATTGATGCCCTGTTATGTATTGCTAATAGAGACAAGCTCCTGTCAGAATGATAGCACATAAATAACTGTTGTTGAGGAGCCAAAATATATAATCAAATGTTTTTTATGTTGTTCTCCCCACAAACAGTGTTCCTCACTCCCCCTCCCCCTCAGTGATTCTGTAGCAGCAGGAGGTCTATATCTATTATACAACACCACGTACAGGTGAAATCTGCATTCCATATGTGTCGTCATGGAAACCAGTTTGAACATTAGGATATAATCAACAATCTCTCGTGGATGTCTGAGTTTTGTGAAAAACATACGAACCAAACAAAATTCCTTCCAACAATTAAGACTGAATGTGAACCATGTTGGGGGTTGTTATACCACAGGTAGCTGTGTTTCACAATGGCCTTTGGAGGTGCTTCCAAGGTTTTTAACAGATCCTGGTGTGATGATACCTAAACTTGGTGGGCTGGTATAGCCATACCCTCCTTGGCTGCTGTTACCTATATCCCCCTGACTTGAAGAGCTTTCTTGGGTTACAGAATCAAAAAGTCACTGACTCCTATAATTTCATCATTCTTTGATGCCCCTGGAAACAATAGCTGGTTAATATAGTTTTTATAGTGTTTACTGTGTACTGGTAATGAATATATGGGACTTGCAGACTTACAACAATTTCTAAGAATGTTTATGCAAGGAGTTTGTTAACATTCGCACAAAAGGCCTTTAACCTCAGTGCATATCAGTTGTCTTGCAAAGCCTCTAAACCGAAATTGTCTGTAAATATTTCATTAGTTTTCTCACAAGTAACCAGACAATTTCCTATTGACGATATGTCTCAGGGAACTTTGTAATAGGGGTTCATTTGATGGTTATACAATGTCATTTTATGAAATAGCTGACTAATAACAATACAGCCTGGTTAATATCAAACTGAAAGTAACTTTAACACATAATTTACTCCTTTATAAATAATGTATGTTTTCATCTCCAGAGTCTTAGCTCAGATTGATAAAGGACAGCTATAATTTGTTGACAAAAAATTACTGATTGAAAGGATTTTATCATTGTGTGAAACCAATGACATAGCAATGAATAAAAGATACACAGTAAAATTTGTGTCTTGAGAAATCTGGTGATGTTGTGACCACAGTACAGGGAACTGCTGGTAATTATAATATAGCAGGCCATTTTTATCTCCATGTCTAGCATGGACAAGAAGATTCAGCCTTTGGTGTACACATACAGTTACTTCGCAGCCACCATCTTCATATCAATGGAATGATGCCAAGAACACAATCTATAGCAAGAAAAAAAAAACAATTACAACATGATGCCAAATTCTATTTTACCAGGAGATTTTTTTAAACACAGTCATTTAGAAAAGAAAGTCCTCCTAATAACTTGACGTCGTGTTTTACGCGACTGTTTAGGTTTCGATTCAGTATTAGTTCTCTTGCTCATATATCTGTATACATATAAAGCCTTAGAATTGATTTACACAGTAACCCAGTTTACTAGTATGTTTCCAGCAGCAATTTTCAGTGTTTGATGTCCTCTATATTGTTTGCTTTTTTGATTGGTCTGTCCATCTATCCATGTGTTATTGACTCCATTGCTCTGATGATAATATCAAATGTAGGTCACTGTGACCTTTAGTTTCTCCTTCAGTCACTATGGATTTACATTTCAGTTTTTATCATTTTTCCTAGGTTTGATATATGCCGTTATATTAAAGCAGAAATGTTGACTTATGTTTTTTTTACATTGCATTATCTATTTACTACTACTACGAAAAATGTATAAACATTTTGTGTACACCAGTTTGACTATTACCTCTGGTATGTTACTTCAGACATCTGTCCATAGCATGTGTAGAATAGCAACCATTTTAAATCCAAAGAATGGAGAAAAAAAATTTAATGATAATTTGGAAGGAAATGGTCTTGCTTCTGATATTAACACAATTTTTTAAAGAAATTGTTTCTACATGGAACCTGTGTTGGATGTTTACTCTGTAAGAGGACTGATCGTCCATTACATGTACGAGGACTTACTGTTGGCAGCAAACTTCTGCATTTGTAATTATTTATGGTTACATTTCTTTTTAGTCAAGCCGAAAGCTAGAAGTGTAAAGAGGGACCGGTATAATGAAACGATGAAGAAGAAGATTGCTGAGATTCTTGCGAGGGTAAGTGCATACACATGGACCATTTTGTGTTAATATTTATATTGAGTTTTATACCTCATGTCAGGTTTCTGTCAGACTAATGTTCCATCCAATATCAGCAAACTCAGATCCCAAAGAAATTGTATTGTAATGCTGAGAGGAAGCATTCAAGGATGTGATATATGAGGGTGTCACTTAGGCAGTGTGTTACACAGTCAGATCGTGTCATGTGGGTAAGTTATAGGCAGAGTGTCACAGAGGAAGGGTATCACATGTGGGTTGTCACATAGGCAGTGTGTTACACAGTCAGATCGTGTCATGTGGGTAAGTTATAGGCAGAGTGTCACAGAGGAAGGGTATCACATATGGGTTGTCACTTAGGCATAGTGTCACAGAGGAAGGGTATCACATATGGGTTGTCACTTAGGCATAGTGTCACAGAGGAAGGGTATCACATGTGGGTTGTCACTTAGGCAGTGTGTTACACAGTCAGATCGTGTCATGTGGGTAAGTTATAGGCAGAGTGTCACAGAGGAACAGTATCACATGTGGGTTGTCACATAGGCATAGTGTCACAGAGGAAGGGTATCACATGTGGGTTGTCACATAGGCAGTGTGTTACATAGTCAGATAGTGTCATGTGGGTTGTCACATAGGCAGTGTGTTACATAGTCAGATAGTGTCATGTGGGTTGTCACATAGGCAGTGTGTTACATAGTCAGATAGTGTCATGTGGGTTGTCACATAGGCAGTGTGTTACATAGTCAGATAGTGTCAAGTGTCATGTGGGTTGTCACATAGGCAGAGTGTCACAGAGGAAGGGTATCACATGTGGGTTGTCACATAGGCAGTGTGTTACACAGTCAGATAGTGTCATGTGGGTTGTCACATAGGCAGTGTGTTACATAGTCAGATAGTGTCATGTGGGTTGTCACATAGGCAGTGTGTTACATAGTCAGATAGTGTCAAGTGTCATGTGGGTTGTCACATAGGCAGTGTGTTACATAGTCAGATAGTGTCATTTGGGCAAGTTATAGGCAGAGTGTCACAGAGGAAGGGTATCACATATGGGTTGTCACATAGGCAGTGTATTACACAGTCAGATAGTGTCATGTGGGTTGTCACATAGGCAGAGTGTCACAGAGGAAGGGTATCACATATGGGTTGTCACATAGGCAGTGTGTTATATAGTCAGATAGTGTCATGTGGGCAAGTTATAGGCAGAGTGTCACAGAGGAAGGGTATCGCATATGGGTTGTCACATAGGCAGTGTTTTATATAGTCAGATAGTGTCATGTGGGCACGTTATAGGCAGAGTGTCACAGAGGAAGGGTATCACATATGGGTTGTCACATAGGCAGAGTGTCACAAAGGAAGGGTATCACATGTGGGTTGTCACATAGGCAGTGTGTTACAAAGACACTAAGGCATGCAGTCAGTGCCACATACTCAAGGGTGTCATATAGGGAGGGTGTCATACAGGGAGGGTGTCACATAGGCAGAGTGTCACAGAGGAAGGGTATCACATGTGGGTTGTCACATAGGCAGTGTGTTACAAAGACACTAAGGCATGCAGTCAGTGCCACATACTCAAGGGTGTCATATAGGGAGGGTGTCATACAGGGAGGGTGTCACATAGGCAGTGTGTCACAGAGGAAGGGTATCACATGTGGGTTGTCACATAGGCAGTGTGTTACAAAGACACTAAGGCGTGCAGTCAGTGCCACATAATCAAGGGCGTCATATAGGGAGGGTATCACGTAGGTTGTTTCACATGGGCAATTTGTTCATTACAAGCAGAGTTTGTTATAAAACAGGGTATTGTATAAGAACACCTACAAAGGGTGACACATATAAAGTGTGACACATAGACAGCAGTGTCACATAGCAAGGCTGACACCTAGGAAAGGTGTCACAAATGCAAAGTTTCACATTGGGAGGTTGACACGTAGGTATAGGACTACATAGGAAGGTTGACACCTTAGGAAAGGTGTCACATAAAGACAGGTTATCACACTGTTGTTATTTTAGATACGTTTTGGCAGGATTTCCATGTGACTGTATATGTGACCCCTACATTACAATAAATATCAATGTTTTGTCAACTGCACTATGATTCATATTAGTCAATTGGTTTATATTGTTGGACTGTATTCATTCATTTTTATGCTTTAAAAGTATAAAACAGTTGATGCTATTTGAATGTTAAATCATCATTGTATTAGGCCTGGTGTACACTTATGTATATGTAAGTGTTGTATCAGGTGGTAGGTACTCTACAACAAGTCAATATTATGAAAGAAAAGTTGGCAGGATTTTCTTTACACATGTATAAACAAAGTTAACAATTAAATACTCATTGAAATATTTACAGTTTAAACAATATATGTTTGATTAAACTGTCCACTATTTCTTAGAAAAGCTCACATTTTGTAATCAAAAGTAGGACCAGAAGCACCTGGTATTGCATGTAAAGAATGTTACAAAGGGATGATGTTGCATGGAGGTGACGTCATGTTGAGAGGGCATCAGATGTGAGAGGACATGAAAAACAGATATGTTCAATAGGGCAGGGATATACAGTTCTAAAGGAGCTTCATGACAATGCCGTTTCTCATTTGAGGTTAGATAGGCTAGGATATCAGAATCTTCTCTGGCAGCACATCACAATTTGTCACTCAGATAGCTTATAACAGTAAATAATTATTATAAGTCTGAGGGTATTCATTGTTAGCCTCTACACTATGTACAGGGATATTATGCTAGAGATAGTGTTGTTTTTAGGGACACCACTGTATTGACTTGAGGAGAATTGACACCCAGACATCGTTTGCCAAGACACCAGATGGAATAGTGATGTAGAATTCAAAACTACACTGCAGTGCATGCTCTGTAGCTAGCCTTCCATACTGGTATCTGTTACTGTAACTCTGGCATTTAAGCCTTAAAGTTGGGCATCATTACAAGTACATTCTGTAACCTCCAACATCTGACCTGAAGTTCTGATCATCTACAAGAACAAATTATTGGTCAACTTGTCAGAGATAGCTAATTTGTGGCCAGTGATTGTCTTCATAAGATAATAGATGAAGGCGATATAAAAAATCACTGGGGTGCTCCAAATTCATTAATACTATTCTCCCATGGTCAATTTTTCATGCATCTGACAATTTTTGTACCTCAGAAGAAACCAAATTAGTCAGGCATTTTCCCTAGTGTGTTATGTAGAAGTCCTATATATATACTGAGGAGTTTTTAGCTTACAATCAACACTAATAAAGCAGCCAGAATAAAAACACAGTTTAGATATGGTTCATCATTCATCAGATATTTTTATTTACACGGAATCCATCAGTCAATCATCAACACCTTTATTAGTGTTACTCAGAATAACGACCATCAGACCACATGTCATTGTCAGACATCAGTCTGTCCATCCATCTGTCCATCTGTCTGTTCTTTAACTTTAACTTGTTATCTTTAATTAACTTCTCCTGAACGAATGATGCTATAGAGAGAGAGAGGACCTTCAATTAGGACAGGATCCATTATCAGTCGAAGAAGAAATTAAAACCCATTTGATGCATCTTTCAACTTAATGTTTTTGCTCTCTGAGTATAGAACAACATGACAGAAGACACGTTAAATTACACTGACCACCTGTAATATATTGGAGGACAGGACAACAGACACATTAAATTACACTGACCCCCAGTAATATATTGTAGGACAGGACAACAGACACATTAAATTACACTGACCCCCTGTAATATATTGTAGTACAGGACAATAGACACATTAAATTACACTGACCCCCTGTAATATACTGTAGGACAGGACAACAGACATATTAAATTACACTGACCCCCAGTAATATATTGTAGGACAGGACAACAGACACATTAAATTACACTGACCCCCTGTAATATATTGTAGGACAGGACAATAGACACATTGAATTACACTGACCCCCAGTAATATATTGTAGGACAGGACAACAGACACATTGAATTACACTGACCCCCTGTAATATATTGTAGGACAGGACAACAGACACATTGAATTACACTGACCCCCTGTACTATATTGTAGTACAGGACAACAGACAAATTAAATTACACTGACCCCCAGTAATATATTGTAGTACAGGACAACAGACATATTGAATTACACTGACCCCCTGTACTATATTGTAGTACAGGACAACAGACATATTGAATTACACTGACCCCCTGTACTATATTGTAGTACAGGACAACAGACACATTAAATTACACTTACACCTGTAATATATTGTAGGACAGGACAACAGACATATTGAATTACACTGATCCCCTGTAATATATTGTAGTACAGGACAACAGACACATTAAATTACACTGACCCCCTGTATTATATTGTAGTACAGGACAACAGACCCTCTGTAATATATTGTAGTACAGGACAACTGACCCCCTGTACTATATTGTAGTACAGGACAACAGACACATTAAATTACACTGACCCCCAGTAATATATTGTAGTACAGGACAACAGACATATTGAATTACACTGATCCCCTGTAATATATTGTAGTACAGGACAACAGACACATTAAATTACACTGACCCCCTGTAATATATTGTAGTACAGGACAACAGACACATTAAATTACACTGACCCCCTGTACTATATTGTAGTACAGGACAACAGACACATTAAATTACACTGACCCCCTGTACTATATTGTAGTACAGGACAACAGACCCCCTGTAATATATTATAGTACAGGACAACAGACATTTACATTTTAATACTGATACACTTCAAACCTGACCATTTATTTCTATATCTTTATACATTGTATATCAATTTTATTTTTACCTGGTACTTGAACTAAAGATTTCACTGAATGAAAAAAAAATTGACCAACATTTATCATTTTATTTGTACAACAAGATTAAATCTTTTTGTGTTGTGGTTTACACAGATAGAGAAGTTAGAAAATGCCACACCTGAGCTGAAACAGCGACAGAATAAGATCATCACAATGGTATGTACCAGTAGCTACTCTACCTGTCAATTAATAACAAACTGTTTCCTGCCTTTATAATTGTAATGATATGTCTTACTGTCAAAGCCTGTTAAACATGCTAGGGTTTCCTGGAGGATATGAACTATAATTACATTCAGAACATTCTGTATTATTTATATTTACATTACTTACAACTTTTTGGTCAATATTGATTAGCTATCCTGGTTATATATTGGGAAAATCCTCGTCTTATACAATGGAATAAGTTCAGTTATGGGGACACCAAAAACAAGATTTAGGATACCTGTACACACATACAACAGAGATGGAATACTTGTACATGATCAGTTCCCAGCCCATCCTAATGTTTAGGATACCTCTACACACATACAACAGAGATGGAATACTTGTACATAATCAGTTCCCAGCCCATCCTAATGTTTAGGATACCTGTACACACATACAGCAGGAACAGATTGCTTGTAACATATTACAAACGAGTCCCCACCCTCAGGATTAGGGATACCTGTACCCACATACAACAGAGATGGATAACTTGTACATAATCAGTTCCCAGCCCATCCTAATGTTTAGGATACCTCTACACACATACAACAGAGATGGATAACTTGTACATAATCAGTTCCCAGCTCATCCTAATTTTTAGGCTACCTGTACACACATACAGCAGGAACAGATTGCTTGTAACATATTACAAACGAGTCCCCATACCAAGGATTAAGGATACCTGTACACACTTACAGCAGGAACAGATAACTTGTAACATATTACAAACGAGTCCCCATACCAAGGATTAAGGATACCTGTACACACTTACAACAGGAACAGATAACTTGTAATATATTACAAACGAGTCCCCACCCCAAGGATTAAGGATACCTGTACACACAAACAGCAGGAACAGATTGCTTGTAACATATTACAAACGAGTCCCCATACCAAGGATTAAGGATACCTGTACACACTTACAGCAGGAACAGATAACTTGTAACATATTACAAACGAGTCCCCACCCCAAGGATTAAGGATACCTGTACACACTTACAGCAGGAACAGATAACTTGTAACATATTACAAACGAGTCCCCATACCAAGGATTAAGGATACCTGTACACACTTACAGCAGGAACAGATAACTTGTAACATATTACAAACGAGTCCCCACCCCAAGGATTAAGGATACCTGTACACACTTACAGCAGGAACAGATAACTTGTAATATATTACAAACGAGTCCCCACCCCAAGGATTAAGGATACCTGTACACACTTACTGCAGGAACAGATAACTTGTAATATATTACAAACGAGTCCCCACACCAAGGATTAAGGATACGTGTACACACATACAGCAGAAACAGATAGCTTGTAACATATTACAAACCAGTCCCCACCCCGAGGATTAAGGATACCTGTACACACATACAGCAGGAACAGATAGCTTGTAACATATTACAAACTAGTCCCCACCCCAAGGATTAAGGATACCTGTACACAGATACAGCAGGAACAGATAGCTTGCAACATATTACAAAGGAGTCCCCACCCCAAGGATTAAGGATACCTGTACACACATACAGCAGGAACAGATAGCTTGTAACATATTACAAACCAGTCCCCACCCCAAGGATTAAGGATACCTGTACACAGATACAGCAGGAACAGATAGCTTGCAACATATTACAAAGGAGTCCCCACCCCAAGGATTAAGGATACCTGTACACACATACATCAGGAACAGATAACTTGTAACATATTACAAACGAGTCCTCACTCCAAGGATTAAGGATACCTGTACACACATACAGCAGGAACAGATAGCTTGTAACATATTACAAACTAGTCCCCACCCCAAGGATTAAGGATACCTGTACACACATACAGCAGGAACAGATAGCTTGTAACATATTACAAACTAGTCCCCACCCCAAGGATTAAGGATACCTGTACACACATACAGCAGGGATGGATAACTTGTAACTTATTACAAACGAGTCCTCACATCAAGGATTAAGGATACCTGTACACACATACAGCAGGAACAGATAGCTTGTAACATATTACAAACGAGTTCTCACTCCAAGGATTAAGGGTACATGTACATACATAAGCTGTTAGTTACATATTGACAATTTACTTTACCTACACTCAAAATACAGGAATGCATAAGATTATACTTTAAATGTGGGACAAAGTTGGTAAGGATTTACCACTTTTCTTTTCTAAATCATTTCCATTCAGTCACTGCCATGCCAATTAGTATAAATACTTTATATATGTGCTTTGTACCATCACAGCTTCAGGGCAGGTACAGTAGATACTCAAACAGTTTTGTGCGATTTTAAATCACATATTCAAAAAGATTTTCTTAAAATTGTCTTTTTTTCCCTGTGTAGTTACAAATTCAAGAGTTCTTGTAATCTTCTGTAAATTAATGATATCATTAGTGGTGGGTTTGTGATGTTTTGTTGTTTGTACAGGATATTTACCACAGGTAAAAACATGCTGATCTTGGCGTGTAAAAGAAATCTTATTGATACTTGAAGGGATTTAATTTAAGGTCATGGTCCTAAATGTAAACCTATGGCCTACACTGACCAAGTCTATAGCTTTATATGTTACTTAAATTGTCATTTGTTTCCTAACATAGGAACTTTGGGTGTTTGCCAAATTTGGTTGTAATTTGAAGTTCAAAAGAAATATCCCTATTTCTGACAGACAAAACAAATTTTAACAGGTGATAAAAGATCTTCCTTTCTTCTCTCTGTTATAACTTCCTCCCAGGTACTGCTTTGTATAAATTCTTCTTGTTTGGTGTATACATTGGAAAACATTCACTTCTTGGAGTATGAAGAGACATTCTGAATTTGTCAAAAAGAAGATGCCTTGAGACATAATGTCACATTTTATAAATTATTTATCCTCAGTTTTTTTTAAACTTAAATTTATCAAAATTATTGACTTGTTCAAAGTTTGTAAGAAATACACTAGTACTTCATAATGAATTAAATGTCGCAAACACAGGGATATGTTATGTGTATGTCACAAAACATAAGTATATATTACAAGTAAATATTATCTAAAAACATACATATTTATCAAAAATACAGTTATGTATTATGTTTTTATCCTGAAAATAGGAAATATTTATTGGCTAACCCAGTCCAGTGGATTAGTGATTAGCTTTCGACATAGTGCGATGTCCGTATTCTTGTATCAACTTATTCATTTAAATTGCTACTAGTCATAGACAACTGGGCAGGACCACAAGGCCTAGAATCTTGATATTTGATTAGTTTGGTTTCTGAGATGAAGCTTGTCAATATTTGCAAAAATAAATATTGTAAACATACATATTCTATTGCTTTTCATGCTGAAAGCATTGCATTAAAATATGATTGTGCTAATTGTCACCTCTGTACATTGTACATAGGAAGTAATTGTTACTAATACCCAAATTCGTCATTGCACTAATTTGGCAAAATGTGATAATGCACTAATATATTAATGTGCTTAATTAAGTATGTTTACTGTAACCTTGAGCCATATTTGAGGTCATAGAGGTCAAATTTGCTGACACCTTCAAACAATTCCTTTCTTTAGCAAAAACAGTGAATGCTGTTTGATGTGAAATGTTACTGTATTTGTGAAAGTTTTGGATACCAGCTGAGCAATGAAGGCCCATTGAGCCTCTTGTTGCATATGTATTTATCACAAACACAGGCATCTTTCATGTCTTTATCACAACATTTTACAAAGCTGTTTATATTATACTCAAGGTTTGTTTAAGTAAACATATGTGGCAGTGATTGACCAGTCTTTAATCTCTATAACTGATGGTGACAAGTACTTCGATTCACGAATCCTGTGTACTGGGGCTTATGTGTACGTGACGATTCAGTTGTCTGCAATTTCACTCGATCAAGGCAGATGAGAGTAATCACCTTTTTTTCTACACAGGGCTTATGTGATAAAGATACATGTACCTTCATGTCTGGAAGTGATAGTAGTGTACAATCTTACTGTTATGTGTGAGACCACCAAATATTTAAAGCACCAGACTAGTGCCATATAGAGCACCGGACTAGTGCCACATAAACCACCAGACTAGTGCCATGTAGAGTACCAGACTAGTGCCATGTAGAGAACCAGACTAGTGCCATGTAGAGAACCAGACTAGTGCCATGTAGAGAACCAGACTAGTGCTAGGTAGAGAACCAGACTAGTGCCATATAGACCACCAGACTAGTGCCATGTAGAGAACCAGACTAGTGCCATGTAGAGAACCAGACTAGTGCCATGTAGAGAACCAGACTAGTGCCATGTAGAGAACCAGACTAGTGCCATGTAGAGAACCAGACTAGTGCCATGTAGAGAACCAGACTAGTGCCAGGTAGAGCACCAGACTAGTACGAGGTAGAGAACCAGTCTAATGCCAAGTAGAGCACCAGACTAGTGCCATGTAGATGTAGAGAACCAGACTAGTGCCATGTAGAGAACCAGACTAGTGCCATGTAGAGAACCAGACTAGTGCCATGTAGAGAACCAGACTAGTGCCATGTAGACCACCAGACTAGTGCCATGTAGAGAACCAGACTAGTGCCATGTAGAGAACCAGACTAGTGCCATGTAGACCACCAGACTAGTGCCATGTAGAGAACCAGACTAGTGCCATGTAGAGAACCAGACTAGTGCCATGTAGAGAACCAGACTAGTGCCATGTAGAGAACCAGACTAGTGCCATGTAGAGTACCAGACTAGTGCCATGTAGAGAACCAGACTAGTGCCATGTAGAGAACCAGACTAGTGCTAGGTAGAGAACCAGACTAGTGCCATGTAGAGAACCAGACTAGTGCCATGTAGAGCACCAGACTAGTGCCAGGTAGAGAACCAGACTAGTGCCATGTAGAGAACCAGACTAGTGCCACATAGACCACCAGACTAGTGCCATGTAGAGAACCAGACTAGTGCTAGGTAGAGAACCAGACTAGTGCCATGTAGAGAACCAGACTAGTGCCATGTAGAGTACCAGACTAGTGCCATGTAGAGAACCAGACTAGTGCCATGTAGAGAACCAGACTAGTGCCATGTAGAGAACCAGACTAGTGCCATATAGACCACCAGACTAGTGCCATGTAGAGTACCAGACTAGTGCCATGTAGAGTACCAGACTAGTGCCATGTAGAGTACCAGACTAGTGCCATGTAGAGAACCAGACTAGTGCCATGTAGAGAACCAGACTAGTGCCATGTAGAGAACCAGACTAGTGCCATGTAGAGAACCAGACTAGTGCCATGTAGAGAACCAGACTAGTGCCATGTAGACCACCAGACTAGTGCCATGTAGAGAACCAGACTAGTGCCATGTAGAGAACCAGACTAGTGCCATGTAGACCACCAGACTAGTGCCATGTAGAGAACCAGACTAGTGCCATGTAGAGACCAGACTAGTGCCATGTAGAGAACCAGACTAGTGCCATGTAGACTAGTGCCATGTACCAGACTAGTGCCATGTAGAGAACCAGACTAGTGCCATGTAGAGAACCAGACTAGTGCCATGTAGAACCAGACTAGTGCCATGAGAGAACCAGACTAGTGCCATGTAGAGAACCAGACTAGTGCCATGTAGAGAACCAGACTAGTTCCATGTAGACCACCAGACTTGGTGCATGTAGAGATACTGAATTGTGCCATGTAGAGAACCAGACTAGTGCCATGTAGAGAACCAGACTAGTGCCATGTAGAGAACCAGACTAGTGCCATGTAGACCACCAGACTAGTGCCATGTAGAGAACCAGACTAGTGCCATGTAGAGAACCAGACTAGTGCCATGTAGAGAACCAGACATAAACCACCAGACTAGTGCCATGTAGAGAACCAGACTAGTGCCACATAAACCACCAGACTAGTGCCATGTAGAGAACCAGACTAGTGCCATGTAGAGTACCAGACTAGTGCCATGTAGAGAACCAGACTAGTGCCATGTAGAGAACCAGACTAGTGCCATGTAGAGCACCAGACTAGTGCCATGTAGAGAACCAGACTAGTGCCATGTAGAGTACCAGACTAGTGCCATGTAGAGAACCAGACTAGTGCCATGTAGAGAACCAGACATAAACCACCAGACTAGTGCCATGTAGAGAACCAGACTAGTGCCAGGTAGAGCACCAGACTAGTGCCAGAGAGAGCACCAGTGCCAGGTAGAGAACCAGACTAATGCCATATAGAGCACCAGACTAGTGCCAGGTACAGAACCAGACTAATGCCAGGTAGAGCACCAGACTAGTGCCAGGTACAGAACCAGACTAATGCCAGGTAGAGCACCAGACTAGTGCCAGGTAGAGAACCAGACTATTGCCATATAGACCACCAGACTAGTGCCATGTAGACCACCAGACTAGTGCCATGTAGACCACCAGACTAGTGGCATGTAGAGAACCAGACTAATGCCATATATAGTACTAGACTAATGCCAGGTAGAGCACCAGACTAATGCCATATATAGTACCAGACTAATGTCAGGTAGAGCACCAAACTAGTGCGATATAGAAAAACAGGCTAATGCCAGGTAAAGTGAATGAAAATCAACACAAAAGTTTTCAAATTAAAAATGGCATTTAACAGAGGTTCCCAGTTTTAGGTATGCTTTCATATCTTAACGTATTGTTTCAAAAATTATGTTACAGGAGAAACAATATTTACAAGGCAATGATTATAATATACCAGCCAGTAAATTTCACAAATTATTTCAAGGATGTGCTTTTTAAGATCAGTGCAGTCTGGGTTCGTTTGTGTATTGTCTGGTGAACGGAGTGATTTTGAGGCAGGATCTCCTGGTAGTAGCTGGATAACAGCATAATCAACAGGAGGCCCATCACATGCCATGTAGGACAACATGGGTAAAGTTTCTTGTCCAAGGACACAACAACATCAGCACAGATTGATTTGTTTCTCAATTTACTGAGAATTACAAACCACAACCAGTAGGGAGCATCAAACTTTGCACCTTGGATCTCAAACTGATGTTACTTATACCACTGCCCTAACTGACAGAGCTATCACCTTGGATCTCAAACTGATGTTACTTATACCACTGCCCTAACTGACAGAGCTATCACCTTGGATCTCAAACTGACGTTACTTATACCACTGCCCTAACTGACAGAGCTATCACAGCCCCTGACTAGTTTGGTAAAACATAACCAGCTGTCAATTATTAACTACATGTTAATGGTATCTAAAATTCCTTAGCTTCAGTAAGGGACTGACTTTAGGATATACATCACTTATTTCTGTTGAATTGTTTTTGACTTAAATAACTTACGAAGCAGACATTAATGCAGTCATAAAAGAGCTGGTCAGTTTTTCAATATCAGGTAAAATTAAGCCTTGAGTACTATACATGTAAGCTGTCTGGTAGTAGACCTAAGAGGATTAGGTCTCTACTTTGAAATATCTACCATCAGAGATCAAATCATAGGCAAATGAAATCCTACATGACCAGTTACATCAATAGTGTATATCTTAGCCCAACACTTAATGTTATAAACACATTTAAAAAATGTTTTGATTCTATAACATTTATTTCTATTATGTAACATTCAGACAGACCTTATATGAGTATTTAGTCAATTAATCCTTATTGTTTGATTTACAGTCTAAATAATCTAAAAAGTATTTGTTGATATTCAAAATGAAGGCTGAATAATTGAGGTTTAAGACCCGTTATGATATGGTTACCTGCACTTTTATATTCACAAGATTGTTTAAGCAGTAAGATGCAGAAAAATATTGCAATATGTACTCTGATATATTTAGATAGTGTTAAACATTAAGTCCACAAAAGATCTGTTGTTTAGAAAACTTAATATGTAACTACCCATTGTTACTTATTACCACTGTCGAGGATTTGTAATTTCCTGGTGTTTGATAGATGTTATTATGTTGGTTATAACATATCTAGCAAATTTGATGATGGGTTATTCAAATCAGTCGTCTGTCCATCCATCTGTCCTTAAACCATACTTATTACAGCTGTTTCTTTAGATGTACTAGAATATTATTTCCAAATTTCGTATGTAGATTATGATCCCTTTAAGGTTTAATCAGAAAATTAAAACGACTGCCATCTTGGAATTTGACAATAAAAGTAGATTAGAGCTCTTAAAGAAGTACTGGATGGATCTTTCTCACCTTTGTTGTACCTTTCAGTTTTGGGTTGATTAGAAAAACAAAATGGCAAACAAGTGGCCATCTTGTTGCTTTTTCTCCACAAGTGCTAGATGGATCTTTACATGTGCTAGTTATATTTGGTAATTGATCAGAAAAAAATGCTGAAAAGGAGACTTTTTGTATTTTACAATTAAAGATTATCATCCTTATATCTTCATAGAAATGTTCAAAGTTGCAGTGTATGATAATTTGTGTTTCATTTGGACATCTGGGAATGGGTTTATCTATCAGACATGTATTATGACACGTTCAGACCACTTCGATTCTGCCACCATTTTTCTGGTGTATTAAAAAACCATAGCATCACAGTCTCAATCAACAGTGGGGATGAATTAACTTAATTCATAAATAATGTTAGATAAATTCTCTATATTATCAGAACTTTCAATACTTTTATTGATGTAAGTTAAATGTCTGATATTTGTAAATTAACATTTTATATGTGTATGAAAATATCCATGTATTTCAGGAAATGGAAGAACTGGAGAAAAAACTTGGATTCCTGACAAAACGATTTCATGAGGCAGACAACACGACATGGAAAGGCATGTTTAAGAAGAATCCTTTGTGGTGATTCAAGGACAAAACATTCCATTAGTCTGAATATGTCACGAAAGTTCAAAATCATCATCAGTCAAATGCTTTTTAAGAAGATAGAGAATGAAGCTGTGATAGAGCTTAAAGTTTAAGCTGATAACAATATGGTTGTGACAGCAATAGTTTTTGTATCCGTAATAATTGTAACCAGGGAACAAGGCATTAGATGTGAGAGGAGGTGTGTTCTCATCTATCTATGGTCAGGAGGTGTTAAATTGACAGTTCTCATGTCATACATGTTTAAGGCTTTCTCCTTCAACATAGTTTGGTGCCCCTGGTGTGACTGTCCCAAAATTCTACTTCTGCTGTGTAGTTGAAGGATGAAGAGTATATACGCAATGTTAGTGTTGAATGGTCACAGACATTCATATGGAAACTCACACATTGTCATATATATATATAGATATCAAAAATTATTTTAATTTTCTGTCTATCATACAACTATTAGGTCCTAAAAGACAAAACATCACAAGGAAAAAAGCACAAATGAAGGTAAATTACAGGTATCACCAGACTCCTCAGCATTCCTATACCTATCAGATGGTCTATTGAGTAACCAGCAACAGACTGTAACTCTTACAAGAGATAACTGGAATTTGGTTGTCATGACAATGTAATCCAAATATCATATGCAGATATTTTCTGTGATAGAGTAAGGATGTACAACCAAGTCAGCTTAATACACAGAAAAATAAACAAGAAAATACAATGTTTAATATTTTCAGGTGAAATAACTTTTAAGGAATAAATGTATAATAGTAATAAATTGTAATTAACCTACAGCAAAACTTTAGGTAAAAAACAGAGGCTACCTCAGAAATGTTATAGTTCAATGGTAAAACAAATTAAATACATGTAGTATTGAATGTCTAGATAAGCTAACAATGCTTTGTTCCAGTCAGACATAATATAAGTCTGTGTGTGTGTAGACTATTATATAACAGTGAACCAATGCTGGTTATGAATCAGTTCCAAGTGGTCTCTGATTCTGTGATATTATCAGACTTGTACAGTCGTGAGGTGAACAGCCCTTTTGTAGAACCTTGTCAAGATTAAATGACCTGCAGACCTTGTGAGTCACAATAAGATCTCAGTGAAATGACTATATTGATATTTCTTATCAGAACGACACCTCTATGTAATTTGCTACTTTATGTAGCAGCTGTACTATTGTACAGTTTTACACACACAGTTTCACTCTCTAGTCAATCTTTATATATACTCTGTCTTTTGGTGCATATTACTTTCTACACAAGTTTTTACATCTTCTGTACTACACATTGATTTGTAGATGTATGGTACATGATCAAGAATTTCATTGAAAGCAATCTAGCAAGTCTAAGCCCATTGTTGTTTTGTTACGTTAGAAATATTCATTATAAAATAGAATGATATATTCTGTCTTCAATATCAAACATGTAACTATCTTTTGATATGATATGTTCACTCAAAATATAGACAATGGTGATGACATATATTTTATTTCATATGAGATCTTATGAAGCAAATCTTAGACAGTTTTATTTTTGCAAGCCTTAGCAAGAAAAAATGAAAACTTCAAGCCAAGTTTCATAAAACCTCATATATAATGAAAACAAATTTAAGGTAGTCCATATCAAATAACTCAAATGTTACGTTTTGAGGGGTTTTAAAGTCAAGATGCAAAGGACAGAGTCAAATGGAGGCAGCTATATTGTTTGCACCATTTTCCATTCACAATATTGTCCATATTATAACATAACAATCAATTTCTGACAGACAGTGGATTTTACACTAATAACATATACGCAGAAATATAATGTGTTCATTAGTAAAAAAAATCATTGCAATTGAACCAACTAATTTTCATGATTATTTTGGGGGTTATTTCTAAGTTTTAGCCCACTTTAATTTTGGGTCTGATCAAAAACACAAAATGGCCGACAGGTGGCTATATTGGGTTTTTATAAAGAAGTTTGTTATGGCTATTCTTTGAGAAGCACTGGATGGTCTCTCTAAAGTTCCATATGTAGGTTTCCCTTGGTCCCAAAATGGCTGACACTTAGCCATCTTGGATTTTGACTTTGAGAGTTTATCTCTGTTTCTAAAGAAGAACTGGATGGATCTATGTCAAATTTTTTAAGCAAGTTCCTTTTGGTCCGTAGTTGTGTCGGTCTTTGGACTGATCAGAATATAAAAATGTCTTCCAGGTGACCATCTTGGATTTGGTAGTTAAAGAATATTATCTCTATCTCTGCTAAAGACTCATTATCATTAAGAGCAAAAAACAGTGAAGAGATCAGAAGGAAAAAGATTAGATTTTCCAAAAACAAATAAAGATCAATAAATGATGGGCACCAAGATCCCTCTAGAATCTCTTGTTTAAAGTTTAAATAAAACTTAGAAATATATAACCATGAAAATATGTTAATATAACAGTGATGTCAGAATATGCCTGTATAATGATCCCTGTCTCATCTATGTAAACTTGTGCTGACAGTTGATAAGTTACCTACAGATTTACGCATTAAGAGTTTTTATTTTTGATGACACATGTAGATAAATATATGTAGTAACAGACTGATAACATGTTTTAATTTTGTATGAACCAATGACACACACTGTATATGATTATGTGTAACTTTAGCTCTTTTCTGTACTGTTCTGTACCAGTTATACCTTCAATATTCTAATTATACTATGTCTTATAAACATTGTAACCTTTCCAATCTGGCACAAGTTAAACACTAATTTAGTGACATTATTCAGATGTGAGAATAAGCAGTTAATAGATACATTTATAAAGAAAGCTAGATAGACATTTTATGTTATGATTATGTTTCAGTAAAAAGACTTTAAGACAAAATAGTGAATTGCTATGTTTCGTGATGGTTGATCTTGAAGTCTTTTATGGTATGGTATAGTGTATAACTCCACAGGGCCTGTAACAATGTTTCTGGTTCATAAGGGCTTGTTTGGTATTGTATGGTATGGTATAGTATAATTCCATAGAGGCCTGTAAAACGTTTCTAGGGTATGAGGGCTTGCATGGTATAGCATAACTCCACAGAGGCCTTTAGTAACATTCTGGGCCATGAGGACTTGTATGGTATACTATAACAAGCAGGTCCTTGTGTTCAGCGCTGTTAGTCTGTGATGAATTGTCCTTCCTGTAGGTATTAGTTATATGTTGGTATTACTAGAGTGTTGTCTGGTAGAAAAGTTATATATATATTATTCTCTAATTTATATTACTACAGCAAATTATCTATTTTTCTTGTTTTTGTTGTATATGAATTCAGCTGGTTATATTAAAACATATTTATATCACTTCAATGTATGTGTGGTGTTATTCTTTAAGTGACCTGACTTAAAGCCTTAGTGCTTCCTCAAAGTCAGTTCACCATGCCTTAACTTTTTACATCTTAAACTTCTTCTCAAGTTCCATGAAAGTTATTGAAATGAAACATGCCTGAAATGATCCTGAGATGGTCCTGGGCAAGTTCTACTGGTGCCATTGACCTGAACATTCTGGAAATGTTAGGGGAGGGAAGCAAAGAAAGTGGGATTGTGTTTTTCGACCTTGTCACAAAAGTTGATTATCACAGCCATGGTATCTGTTTTGTAACATGATTGCACATAGTTTCCCTGAACAACACCTACTTTAAACTTTTGCTCGCATTCCACCTGTGGGATTTAGGCAAAACCTGAAATTATCCTGAAGTGATCCTGACCAAGGGTCAGTCCAGAATCCATTATGAGTGCCATCTTAAAAAAACACATTTCAAATGTCTTCCCAAGTTTTGTTTGAGCTGTTGAGCTGAAAATTGGTGGTGATGTTAAGAAAGGGAAGCTTGCAAAGTGTTGTTATTTTTCAGCCTTGTTGAAGTTCATATGGTAGCTGTGATGCCCAATGTGTAATATGATTGTGGAATCATGGTTTGAACAATACCATTTTAATCTTCTTTTGAAGTTCTACTCATTGGATTATGTTAAATGTTACCTGATGAGATGATCCTGACTAGGTGGTGTTAATTTTAGGGCGAGTCAGAAATCCAATATGGCAGTAGCCTTTAAACATATAAAAAAAACTTCCCCTCAATTCCACTGGTGCCTTTGAGCTGTTAAGATGAAGATTGTTTTTTGCCTTTACTGCTGAAATATTCCAGAGTGTTATAACCTTTTAATAGCTGTCTCTACTTCTGCATATAGGTCTTTAAAGTTGGATGACTGTTAAGGCCCATGTGGCTCTTGTTATTTACAAGAAATGTATGATATACCAGAGAGGGTCCAAGTGGTGACAACATGCAGCGGACACAATATATAGGTCAGCTTCCATTATATCTTGGACTTCACAAATTTTAAAGTGTTCAAAGAAATCAGATGAGGTCGTCATGCTTGATAAGTCAGATTGTCAGACTAATTAGGGTGTGGTAGAGCAGGTGTGAAGTGTGACTTGTCTAAAAACCCAGAAATTGTTTTTATAACAGATTTAACCCTCCATCATCAGATTACAGTTACTCGAGAGGAAATTTCAACTTACTTACAATGAAGAGCAAAAACAAATAAAAAATAGTGAAACGAAGAGAAAAAACAAAATAAAGATCAAACCATGGCAGGCACTAAGATCCCTCTGTGACCTACCTCTTGTTCAGAACAATACAACTCAGAGATTTCAATTATTTTGCGGTGGAAAACTTGAAATATTGGTGTATTTCGAAAGAATGATTTTAAAAACATGAAGATTGAGTTTTGCTCACTCCTTCCATAGAAATGTCATTAAGTATGTTTTCTGGTTTTTTGCTCATTTATTCACATCATTATAGAATTTTCATGTCTATATGTTATTTTTATCTGGAGCCAAATCACTTAGGGATGTACATTACCTTAAATATACAAGCTGTGGTTTGTGTTTAGAATTATCTCCCTTTGAATTTCACTTCATCTCCATGTTGTCTTTTTGAAAGTATTGCCACATAAATATATCATTGATTAGTTTGTCAATTTCATATGACCTTCATAGCTGATATTTTGTTTGTTCTTATTGAATTTGAAACACCTTGGAAAATGGACTAGTTACCGTAAAGGCATGCATCTTTAATGTCACAATTGACAATGTAATAATTACATTGCCTCATAAGTTATTTTAGTATCCTAGTGAGATTTTACAGATTCACAAGGATGAATTGGAATTCCCCTGCTCTACCGCGTATATGGTACAGAACATCCTTAAAATAGATCCGTGTATGGTTGATATTTAGGTTTGTGATGTGTTTGACATTTAAAATTATTTTGGTATTGTCAGATTTGTTTACATTTGTAGATGTTAATGCGAACATAGCAGTCATGCAATGCCCCAAATAACAAGAATATTTTACAGGCATTTAAACTACAATAGTCCTATTTCACAGAACACAGTATATTAGATACACCACTCAAAAATGTTAATCATTGGATTAATCATTGAGGTCTTGATTATCATGTCAGTAAGTATTACAAATGACCAAAAATATATGTGTTATTGGGTGTCCTCCTTCTCATCAGGTACACAGGGGTTAGGACAGGTAATCTGTGATAACCTACATTTGTCAGACTACCTGCATGGTAATGACACTATTTCTGCAGCAGATAACTCACAGTACAGATGGTAACAAACACATCATTGTTAAACATGTTTATGCCAAAATTATTATGCAATGTTGGTTTATATCTTCCCAGATGTCAATGACATGTCAAGGTCGTACAGGTCAACTTCCTCTCCCATATAATTAATTTGTATGATTCACCTAACAATTCATTCATAAATTTCTTTTTTAAGCTAACAAAATTAAGATATTACAATAATAATGAAAATTAAATGGGTATTGCAATTATTTTTAGCATTTATTATACTCTAAGATGACTAACAGGTGTGGAACATTTTCATGCCATTTGGCCTTTCAGCACATCAATGTCAGATATTATTTATAGAATACATCTCAACAAAGTGTCTTGTGGTTTGGCCACTGATGACTAACTGGAGATGAAGAGTGCATTATGGATTTTATTACAAGACATATGAATTAAATAGGGTGATTGATATAGATGTTGAAGCTGAACTCCAGTCATTGGTAGTGATGTTGAAGCTGGACTCCAGTCATTGATATAGATGTTGAAGCTGGACTCCAGTCATTGATATAGATGTTGGAACTGGACTCCAGTCATTGATATAGATGTTGAAGCTGGACTCCAGTCATTGATATAGATGTTGAAGCTGGACTCCAGTCATTGATATAGATGTTGAAGCTGGACTCCAGTCATTGATATAGATGTTGAAGCTGGACTCCAGTCATTGATATAGATGTTGAAGCTGGACTCCAGTCATTGATATAGATGTTGAAGCTGGACTCCAGTCATTGATATAGATGTTGGAACTGGACTCCAGGATATAGATGTTGAAGCTGGACTCCAGACATTGATATAGATGTTGAAGCTGGACTCCAGTCATTGATATAGATGTTGGAACTGGACTCCAGTCATTGATATAGATGTTGGAACTGGACTCCAGTCATTGATATAGATGTTGAAGCTGGACTCCAGTCATTGGTAGAGATGTTGGAGCTGGACTCCAGTCATTGATATAGATGTTGAAGCTGGACTCCAGTCATTGATATAGATGTTGGAGCTGGACTCCAGTCATTGATATAGATGTTGAAGCTGGACTCCAGTCATTGATATAGATGTTGAAGCTGGACTCCAGTCATTGATATAGATGTTGGAACTGGACTCCAGTCATTGATAGAGATGTTGAAGCTGAACTCCAGTCATTGGTAGTGATGTTGAAGCTGGACTCCAGTCATTGATATAGATGTTGAAGCTGATTGATATAGATGTTGGAACTGGACTCCAGTCATTGGTAGAGATGTTGGAACTGGACTCCAGTCATTGATATAGATGTTGGAACTGGACTCCAGTCATTGATATAGATGTTGGAACTGGACTCCAGTCATTGATATAGATGTTGGAACTGGACTCCAGTCATTGATATAGATGTTGAAGCTGGACTCCAGTCATTGATATAGATGTTGATATAGATGTTGAAGCTGGACTCCAGTCATTGATAGAGATGTTGGAGCTGGACTCCAGTCATTGATATAGATGTTGGAACTGGACTCCAGTCATTGATATAGATGTTGGAACTGGACTCCAGTCATTGATATAGATGTTGGAACTGGACTCCAGTCATTGATATAGATGTTGGAACTGGACTCCAGTCATTGATGTTGGAACTGGACTCCAGTCATTGATATAGATGTTGGAACTGGACTCCAGTCATTGATATAGATGTTGGAACTGGACTCCAGTCATTGATATAGATGTTGAAGCTGGACTCCAGTCATTGATATAGATGTTGAAGCTGGACTCCAGTCATTGATATAGATGTTGGAACTGGACTCCAGTCATTGATATAGATGTTGGAACTGGACTCCAGTCATTGATATAGATGTTGGAACTGGACTCCAGTCATTGATATAGATGTTGGAACTGGACTCCAGTCATTGATATAGATGTTGAAGCTGGACTCCAGTCATTGATATAGATGTTGAAGCTGGACTCCAGTCATTGATATAGATGTTGAAGCTGGACTCCAGTCATTGATATAGATGTTGAAGCTGTCCAGTCATTGATATAGATGTTGAACTGGACTCCAGTCATTGATATAGATGTTGAAGCTGGACTCCAGTCATTGATATAGATGTTGAAGCTGGACTCCAGTCATTGATATAGATGTTGAAGCTGGACTCCAGTCATTGATATAGATGTTGAAGCTGGACTCCAGTCATTGATATAGATGTTGAAGCTGGACTCCAGTCATTGATATAGATGTTGAAGCTGGACTCCAGTCATTGATATAGATGTTGAAGCTGGACTCCAGTCATTGATATAGATGTTGAAGCTGGACTCCAGTCATTGATATAGATGTTGAAGCTGGACCCCAGTCATTGATATAGATGTTGAAGCTGGACTCCAGTCATTGATATAGATGTTGAAGCTGGACTCCAGTCATTGATATAGATGTTGGAACTGGACTCCAGTCATTGATATAGATGTTGAAGCTGGACTCCAGTCATTGATATAGATGTTGAAGCTGGACTCCAGTCATTGATATAGATGTTGAAGCTGGACTCCAGTCATTGATATAGATGTTGGAACTGGACTCCAGTCATTGATATAGATGTTGGAACTGGACTCCAGTCATTGATATAGATGTTGGAACTGGACTCCAGTCATTGATATAGATGTTGAAGCTGGACTCCAGTCATTGATATAGATGTTGAAGCTGGACTCCAGTCATT